ACGGGGGCGTACGTGTCTTTTGGTGTATTTGTCTGTCTGGTATATTGTTTGTCGGGGGTCGCAATTTTAAAGAAATGTATTCTAAAGTAATGCAAATAACTGATAAATAAGTAAAAACTTACCTGGGCATAACCCCGGCACAGGTACCTGTAACAAAGATGCCGACGGCGTCTATGCTTAAGCCGGGGATTAGGTCGGTGATTAAAAGGAAAGAAAGGGATTCTTTCCAGGTAGCCTTAATAAAGGCAGGTAGATCTTGCTCGTTGCAATGCACTTCACTTCACAAACAAACACGTCTGCTCAGCTCGGCTGTTCGCTCTGAACTGATTTTCAAATCGAAAGAAGGGTTTGATTCAGTGGCGGCTCGTTGGGGTAGGCAGGGTGAGCAGTGCCCACCTTGATAATTTCAGAAGAATAAAAGAAAAATGTGTATACATATACCAAAGTAATTTGACCTAATTCTTATAAAATTAAATCTAAACTGCATTACCTCCTTTGAAACTCCCGCTACCAAATTTTAAAATTATGATTTTATCATGATCTCAGCAGCAACCAACATTACTTTCGGGCTGTCCCGCTGCCGCTGAACTAAACGACGCCGTTCCTTGCCTGCTTATACACAGCTCGTAAAGTTTGGAATAAATTCGATAAATCGTTATTGAAGGGTTTTGACAGGAAATCCTCGGACACGTCAACTTTAGTTTATAAAATGTCACTTTTTTCAGCCATCGACTTTTTTTTTGTTATGTTTATTTTTGAGCTATGACGTCATCGGTAATTTTTTTAAATGGCGACCCATATTTTTTTTTCACGTATTTCGATAGAGCACATTTTTCTGAGTACGAATATGTCAAAAACGCATGACCTTCAAGATGGAAGTTTTCGAGATAATAGACAGTTTGAGCTGATTGTAGATGATCATGATACGAATTTGAGCATGCGCAACGGTCAAATTCTACGTATATGTTCACGTATCGGATAAACTGTCTATTCGTTTCCAAAGTTTTAAGAATGTACCATGTATAAGGTATCGAGTGGGTCAAGTTTTTTAATAGCTTATCGAACATATTAAGAGATTTTAGGAGCAATTTGTTTAATTTTTTAAGTAATAATCAACAACAATTTTAACAAATGAAAGAAGGTTTCTGTACAAATGGTAAATAATTAAAGTAAACAAGAAAATCAGAGGAAATTTTCAAAGTGACCTCCATTCACTTCTTGGCAATATCCCATTCGCCACTGAAACTCCTGCAGAAACTTATGAAGAATATCTGGTTGAATGGCTCGAATTTCATTGCGAATTCTGTCCTTTAATTCTTCAATGGTATTTGGTCTATTGAAATAGACTTTGCTCTTTAAATAGCCCCATAAAAAGTAGTCTAGGGGAGTGAGATCTGGAGATCTAGGGGGCCATTCGATAATTCTCCTTCGACCAATCCTATGGTTAGCAAATACTTGGTTTAAATAGTCGCGAACGATCAGTGCAAAATGAGGTGGTGCACCGTCTTGTTGATACCATATCGTGTTATTGGGCAGATCGGGATCTACGTCATTTGGGTAAAGCACTGCAAGTGCAGGGACTAAATCATCTCTTAAAAATTCAAAATATTTTTCACCTGTTAATGCGCCTTCAATGACAAATGAACCCAAAATATGGTTACCGACAAGGCCAGCCCAAATGTTAACTTTTTGTGGAAACTGACTACGAGTTTCGATTTTCCAGTGTGGATTTTCAGGAGACCAATATCTACAGTTTTGCTGGTTTACTGTGCCGTCGAGATAAAAGGTAGCCTCATCAGAAAAAACAATATTGCGTAAGAATCCGTCGTCATCAATCAGGCGTTGCAACATGAGGCTTTTTTTCGCGAGTGAAGTCATATGTTGTAGTATGTGTAGTATGAGTGAATATTACATTTTTGCGAGAATAGTCAGTCATTTAAACTACTATGTGGCGTCACAAGTTTAGATCAAATGACTGAACTCTTCACCCTTCAGCTGAATATTCTGTTGGTATATTCAACTAGTATTGTCAGCCGGTAACTTAACCTTTTTCTTTTTGACATTTTGTTTGAATGAGGATAAAAATCGTTCAGCAAAATGATGGATTCTGATACGGCTGTGGAAGTGGTCAGTTTAAATTTAAACTTTAGAGGCACAGATGTTTTAGTAAACGTAGACGTTGAAACAGNTTTTTGACATTTTGTTTGAATGAGGATAAAAATCGTTCAGCAAAATGATGGATTCTGATACGGCTGTGGAAGTGGTCAGTTTAAATTTAAATTTTAGAGGCACAGATGTTTTAGTAAACGTAGACGTTGAAACAGCAAATATTTTACTTAATGGTAAGATTAATTTTTTATATGGGACATATTTGCGATCCACTTTGCTTCAGGATTATTCTCTTCTTTTTGTGACCTAGGCCAGAGATAATATTGGTGGAATTATTTGTAATTCAGGCCTTTTTCGTATGAATTACATAAAAAACCGACCTAACTTTCTAGTTTAATTTTTGCATTGATATATTCCTTCAGTTTTATTTGAAGCAAATACATATATTATATAGTGAGATAACACCAATTCCCACAACACTAGATTACTGGATGCAATAAAGTATGACAAATTATGGTTACTGGTTAGAAGTTAGAACCCATATGTCAAAGTCGTCAAAGTACATATGACAGGCTGCACCACTGAATAGTGAATATATACATTTTCGCGATCTGTTCAGGTTAGACAAGGTTAGAAATAAGATTAAAAGAGATAGAAACAGTAACTACAAGTCAGACGTATTCACCAATATTCACTCGCGAAAAAAAGCCCATGGTTTCACAAAACTGTAACCTACGGTCAGGATCATCTTCGTTTAATTCTTGGACCAAAACCACTTTAAACGGATGCCATTTGTACAATTTCAAATATTTAAGACGGAGCTTTGAACTATTCCGTTGTTTGCCGCCACTTGGCGGGTGGGTAAATGGGGATTTTTCTGAAGCTCTAGTAGAACATTAAATTTAACATCTTCTTGTACTGGTGGACGACCCGTTCTAGAGCGATCTCTCGCATGACCCATTTCTAAAAACTTTTGCTCTATTTTACTAACGGTGGACAGTGTAATTGGTTCTCTGTTTGGATATTTGTTAAATAAACGGCAAACTTCTATTTGTGTGCGAGCTCTGTCACCGTGACCAATCATCATCAAAATTTCGATTTTTTCCCTTTCACTCAAATAACGGACCATTTTCAAATAAAATGAATTCTGATAGATTAATGATTAATCAACTTAAAATAAAACACAAACTTGCGAGGACAAACTTCAAAATTCTGACAACTATGAAAACTGTAATTTTTCCAGCGCTTCCTTGATAAATGATTAGTATTTTGTCATCGCTTGTATGTATAATGCATTCTTGAAACTTTGGAACTGAATATCTCGAAAACTTCCATCTTGAAGGTCATACTTTTTTGACATATTCGTACTCAGAAAAATGTGCTCTATCGAAATCCGTGGAAAAAATATGGGTTGCCATTTAAAAAAATTGCCGATGACGTCATAGCTCAAAAACAAACAAAACAAAAAAAAAGTCGATGGCTGAAAAAAGTGACATTTTACAAACTAAAGTTGACGTGTCCGAGGATTTCCTGTCAAAACCCTTCAATAACGATTTATCGAATTTATTCCAAACTTTACGAGCTCAGTGTATGTACCTATAACTAGAGAGTAATCGGAAACGTAAGTCGTTTACCAATTCACAATATTTGCGCCACGTCGGGCAAGCCCGCATATGCCCGTCGAGTGCTGTATCGGCTAAGGCCAGCTAAGGCTTTTCGCCAGCGATTGGAAATACACATAATATGTATATTTATTTGCTGTAATTTTGTTCTTTGAATGAATTTTTAAACATTAGAACAATTTTTCCCTGGAAAGGTATTCCAGAAAACTAATTTTAATAAATGAAATAATAAACCGTTTTATAATAATGTGTAAATCGAGTTAAAAAATGAATATCTACGGTGCTATGTTGAATATTCTGTGATAATGATAATTATAATTATTAAGTTTTTTTTAACTCGTTGCTGTTAAACTGAATTAAGAATGATTGCGGAGAAATTTTCAATGTTTTAATAGATTCGAGTTTGTAAATATGAAAGTGATGTAAATTTTTAGGACTTTTGAATCCAATATTTATTTTTTCTTCAAATAATAAAGAAACTTGGATATAAAAAAAAAACGTTCGTTTCAGTTAATACATTTTTTTAATTTCAATCAGATTTTTAATAAATTATAATATGCGTATACATAAATAGCCTTACGCACCGGGCAAGCCCTTCGGCTTCACTCGTATATTCCTCGAGTACTTACGTATCATCTTGTGATTTGTCATTAGGTAAGTTCGGCATTGACATGTAGATGGTCTAGATATATCTTTTTGTCTTTTTGTCTGTTACAATTAGAAAAGAACAAAACACATCTAGAGCGTCTACATCAAGGGTCGGCAACTGGTGGACCGTGGTCCAGGTTCGGACCGCGGAAGGTAAAATACTGGCCAAAAATTTTTTGAAAGTATTAATTACTCAAATTTAATTATTTAAAAATTGCTTTTTACGTTTAAGTGCGAATCTTATCATCTTTTCTAGTATTTTACAATTGTGCGAGTGTTTTGAGTTCTTAATTAGTAAGCAGATTAAATTTGAGTCCAAATTAAAATAAAAAAATAAAAAATATGAATTTTTTTTCTGGACCTCGTTAAAAATTTTCAGAAGTATCCGGAGCCCACCTAAAATTACTTGCCGACCCCTGGTCTAGATGTTAATACCGAACTTGCCTATTGTCGTTTGTTTATGTTTAACCTAGACAAGGTTAGGGTTTCTAGTGGTGGTTTAGGCAAAAGTTTTTATTGTTTAATAGTTTGGAGTAAAGCAAAATGGCAAGTGAAATTCGCGAATTGGTGAGTAGCAATGTTAATGTAGTGTTAATTTTTTTATTAGATAAAAAATTTAGTACGTTGACTTTCAATGATAAATTATTTATTTCAAAATTAAAATCTACGAGTGACATGAAAAATTTAACAAATAAAAACAATTGCAGAAGTAACGGATCATTTAGTAAAAATTGGTACAATAAATATGAGTGGTTAAAAGGCAGTGAAACCAAAACCAAATTATATTGCTAGAATTGCTTACTATGTAATAAAAAATGTAAAACACCGTGGAACTATCTAGGATATTCAGATCTGAAACATATTACAAGAGCGATCGAATTAGCATACATATTCATCATTAAAATTTAATTATTAGGAAAAAAAAAACATTCAAACTTTTCTTGATTCCGCATTTCGTGAGAATATTTTAAAACATAATAAAGTCGTGGACGAAAATAGACATTGTAAAGCACTTTATTGATATAATTATTTACTTAGCTACACAAGAACAAGATTTAAGGACCATAATGAATCAGATAATTCCATTAATCAAGGCAATTTTCGTGAGCTTGTAAACTTACTTTCAAGGTACGACAATTAATTTAAAGTGTTTTAGAAAAAAGTCTAATTTTAGCAGCCATTCAAAAACTATTCAAAATAATTTAATAGAGAGCATCAATGTAGTAGTTTTTAGATATGTTCATTGTGGTAAAGTAGTTGAAAGATTTATGGGATTTTTTATGTAAGCAAGGGGAAAAAAGCTGCGGATCATTTGTTAACAGAAAATTAAAAAAATTTTTATATAGAAAATAAATTAGTAGGCCAGTAGAGTGCAATTATTCCTATACGATATTAAGTTACATGAGAGAAAAAATGTTTTGCCCACCCATCTCAAAAAACCACGAGCCGCCGCTGGTTTGATTCTACTTTTTAGTGGTGTAATTCATTTTTAGAAAAGAAATTTGTTCGCATAACCTTGAATATATTGAAAAACCGTGTTTTTTTACACATTTAGGTTAGAATATCTCGCAAACCTAGGGTCAATTCTGAGACCAGATTCGGATTCAGCGCATCAAAAACCTTCGGGGACGTATTGTCTGCTTTCTGGGTTTTTCCTTTTTTGAAATTTTGTCGGCCTGTATGATTGATTAGTCATAAATCGCCAGTTTAAGAAAAGCAACGTCTATTAAACATAAATAAAACTTTCTAAATTATAATGTAATAAAATTCTAACAGAATTATTTTTTGGTTTCCAGACATCAAAGTAATTGATGATCTTGATAAAAAGTTTTGCCTATCTTGGAAAGCCATGAAATATGTAATAAAACATACAGGGTGTCCTTTAATTTTTGTTTTCGTTAACAACTGTATTTAACAAAATTGTTCGAGAACTCGAGAAATGCTTAAATATGGGGTTTAGTAAGAAAAGAATAATAATCGCATTGTCAATCAATGCCAAAGTGAATATATTTATTTTTATTAACTGCCCACTCAATAATTTTTATTAATAATGGTAACCCTGGAGCAACGAATTTACCTTGTGAATGTTATGGAGTCGGTAATGTTTCATATCGATATACAATACAAATTTTTACTGAAAAATATCCAAATGTAATTGTAACTCGTAGAGCAGTTCGCAAGCCAGTTATAAAATTCGATCCGAAAAAGGTCAGAAAACATAAATATTAGCAGATCTCATTTTCAAAGAATTTTAGTATACAACAAAATCTATCCATTGAAACCAATATTTAATCATAAATTGCTTGAGTGATGGTCGGTGTTTGGACTTTTGTGTAACAATGGGCGAGAAACTGATTGAAAACAGATTCTTTCATCACAATATTTTATTTACTGATGAATATTCACGAGTATTCACAACTAATAGCATGGTTTCCTCTCAAAATTGTAGATACTTAGCTAAATATCCAAATTTTCGATTGATAACTAATAGTAAAAAATTTTTAAAATGTCTAGTGTGATTTAATGTATCATAAAATAATTGGTCCTTACTTTCTGGAAGAAAATCTTAATCAAAATTCGTATTTTGAAATTCTCAATAATTTTATGTTGGCAGAACTAGGTAACAAAAATTTAAAGTTCAGAAGAAAACTAATATTTCAACAAGACGGATGCCCTACACATTCCACATTTCTAGTGAGAAACTGGCTTGACGTTCACTTCCCGAACAAGTCAATTGGATACTACGGACCAATACCTTGGCTTGCACGGGCACCTAACTTATCCGCTTTAGATTATTTCTTATGGGGATACCAAAAGCAAAAAGTATATTCAAACGATTTTGACGATAACATTGGTTTACTTTAGCAAAAAATTCGGAAACCTGTTGCCACCATAAACGAAAGATTAGAAAAATGTGTATTACTTGTATGTTTATAAGCTGAATAGGACTTGTTGTTAATTCTAGTTCTAATTTATTATTTCTATTTTTTAATTAGAAAAGCTGCTTTTATTTGGTTTGCCACATCGTCGATTTAAGTTTATTGGCATTTTGCGAGACATATCGGTCTTTTTAAAATCTCAGAAACTTATAGAGTTATTTCTGAGGAAGAGAGTGATATGTCTCTCAAAACATCAAGAAACCTTGACCGATGATGTTCTACTAAGCTATTTTTATATTATATTAAATTTAAAATAAAAGTTTACTTATTTATTACAATTTCTGTCTGCTTTAAGTAAGATAGTTAAAAATTTCGTCTTCTTATTTGCAGAATGTGATTATTCTTCTTTTTTGACTAAACCCCGTATTTAAGCATTTCTTGAGTTCTCGAACAACTTTGTTAAAAACGGTTTTTAACGAAAATAAAAATTAAATGTGCTTAGGGAAAATTTCACATTTTGAAATTTTTTGAATGCCCTGTATGTATTAATATATTTGATTACTACCCATGGCTTCCCAAGACAATCAAAGCTTTTTATCAAGAATAACTTTTTCTCGAAAAAAACAACAATAAAAAAATTTACAAGAGTGCGGTACATCTTCCAGGGACAAACTGTATATTGCATTTACTTCTCTAGGTAGGTCTAAAAACGTTTCGAAAAGTTCATGATATACAGGGTGTCCCAAAAATGACGCCTGTCCTTCTGGGATTTGAATAAGGAGACAAAAAGGAATTGAAAATTAAGAGTGGAAAATTTTCCGATTGTTTTTCTTTCTTGAATTATTAAAAAAATTATTCAAAAAACTAAAAAAATTAAAATCCATTTTTTTATCTCAAAGACAAATAATTTATAACTAATAGTAGGCAAGTATAGTTTCCGATTGTCGGTTGTACCTGGGTGTAAGGAATTATTTTAACCTGAAAAGGATAGAGAAAAACATTTTAATAATAAAATAGATTTATAAAATAGAGAGGAAGAAACTTATAAACTAAAACTGTGCTTAAATAATAGAAATTGTTTTTACAAAAGGTGTTCAAATAAGTTGCTTTCTACTTCAAGACAAAGATTATTACGATTCAACATTAAAGCATGAACTCTTTGTAACATCTCTTGGTTTATTAACGCGACAGCAGCGTGTATACGCACTTATACATTTTCTGGATTTACAATAGGTTCGCTGTAAATCTTTTGTTTTAAATAATCCCAAAAGAAGGGAATTCAGATCTGGTGATCTAGGAGGCCATGGTCCACCTCTTCCAATCCATCTGTCTGAGAAGTTTTGCTTCAGATAATTTCATACTCGTAAACCATAATGTGATGGAGCTCCATCATGTTGAAACCAATAATTTAGTCTAACTGCTAACGGAACGTCATCCAGCAATGGCAGCTGCAGCAAATACAGCTCTGAACTACATAATTATTTAATAACCCAGCCCAAATGTTTATTTTTAGTTTTTTGAATAATTTTTTTGAATTACTCGACAAAGAAACAATCGGAAAATTTTCCACTCTTGATTTTCAATTTGTTTTTGTCCCCTTAATCAAAACCCAGAAGGACGGGCGTCACTTTTGGGACACCGTGTTTATGATATATTTCGTTAATATACCATATTCCGAAAATGCTTAGTTTCTGATCTACAGGGTGATATAGTTTTAATAAAAAAATGCAAATTTATAAATATTTCGGAAACCGCTCAGAATATTTTAATGAAATTTTACAGCTTTGACAATTAACAATAATATATGTTTTACGATAAAAATATTGTTTTTAGTTTCACCAATTTCGTGCACACAGGCACGTCTTTGGATATTTTTAAAGAAAAAAATTGTACGCCACCGATTTTTCTTAAAATAAAAATTATTTTTCAATTCCTTGTTCAATTTGGAAGAGAAAAGGTATCTTGACTTTTTTCTTATGACGCACCTTTTCGAGTAAAAAAAATAAAATCGATTTATTGCATGGCATAATCCGGTTTCAATAATTTGAAAAATAGCAGAAATAATGCACTCAGCTTTTTTTTTGTACCAATTTTATTACAAAAAAATATTATTCCTCGCAGTTAACAATATCAGTCTAAAAAAATTTTATCAGTTTCACTAGTCACTATCTAAACAGAAATTAGCAAGTTGGCTGTGCACTTGTTTTTGTTATTGTTTGACAAAATTAATAATAGCTGTTACTTTGAGTGTTTGAGTGTGAAGCAGTTAAGTGCGTAATTTCTATTTTTCAAACTATTGGAACCGAATTACGCCATGCAATAAATCGATTTTATTTTTATTTAACTCGAAAACGGTGCGTCATGAGAAAAACAGTCGAGATACCTTTTCTCTTCAAAATTGAACAAGGAATTCAAAAATAATTTTTATTTTAAGAAAAATCAGCGCTGTATCATTTTTTTCTTTAACAATATCTAGACACGCCACTGGTGAAACTGAAAACAATATTTTTATTGTAAAACGTGTATTGTTGTTAACTGTCAAAGCCTGTAAAATTTCATTAAAATATTCTGAGCGGTTTCCGCAATATTTATAAAGCATTTTTTATTAAAATATTATTTAAAACCCTGTAGATTGGAAACTAAGCGTTTTCGGAATATGGTATATTAAGGAAATATATCACAAATCGTTTTTACTATAACCTCCTGCAAGGAATGCATCAACTTAACCAAACACCCTGTATAAACAGGGTGTCCCAGAATAACGTGTACAACGGAAGACCACAGATTTGTGGACTCAAATTAGGCAGATTTAGGCTAATTCGCCTATATCCAAAATCGCTTTGTTTTGCCGTTAGATGGCCTAAAAGTTCGTGAGAATTTTTTTAATTTTGTAAATAACTCGAACACGTATTAGTCGATTTTGATTATTTTTGGGGTGTGGACTTTTGCTTTCAATTTACACATTTTGGTGTTATACAGAGTGTTTTTTAAAACTCACAATTCCTACAAAAATGATGTGTGGTGATAATATCTGTTCATACCTTTTTCCTCTTTCGGACAAAAATGACAACTATTTTTTATTTGATAGGTGATACCATTTGGAAGTTTTTGGGCCTCTTATAGAATTTTCATTAAATGAGCGGTTTGAGTACAAAAAAAATATTTTTTAAATGTCTACATTATCTTGCCACCCCACTTACAATACTTAACAAAGTGCTAGTAGGCTCCGATTTTGTACGTTGACTATAATTTCAGTTTAATCTTGTTTGAGATAGCATTATTATTGGCACTGTTATTCTACCCAATAGACTGAATAGGGAATTTTATTTAGAAATTTTGCATAACCCAAGTTACTGGAAGTTGTGCCGTTACTACTCACAGCTATGTGGTTTATGCTTGATAGCGCTCCACCACATTTCAATGTAAATGTCCGGTTGTATTTGAATTAAAGATTCCTCGTCAGTGGCGGTTTTACCATGAGAGCTGCGGAGCTTCAGAACACATAAAATTTTATGTATTTAATCATATTAAATATCAACAACGTATTTAAAGAATCCAAATGTTCTCACGCTAAAATAAATTTAGGAGCTTATATTATTATTTATTACGACGCGAGCTACACCCTTCAATATATGCAACCTCATATACAAAATGTGTGCACAGCGAACAATTAGATACGTCCTTTGTTTTTATTGGCTAATCAGGCACGTGACCCAGTACATGAATGTATGGACTTATGTGGCTGCAACAACGACAGTCACTGCTGCAGTAAATGCAGTTAATATTCGTACATGATATGTGGTGGTTTATTTCTGCGAGCGGCACATGTGAATATTTTCGTTTAGGCGTCTATTGATATTATAGTTATTAAAATGAATAGGGTTCCGTTTTTACAAAAACACAATTAAATATTGAAATTAGTGGAACAAACCGAAAATTAAAATTCGTTGAATCATTGGTAAACTTCACAAACGATTTTTTTGTTTATAAACAATATTCAATAATTTAATAAAATATATTTAGTTTATTCCAATTTATTTATACAGTCAGTAAGTAACTCGTGAGTAGATATTTCAAAAAGGTATCAATTTCAAAAATCGTTCTTGAGAAAGTCTGTATTTTTGTATAAATGGATTGTTCCTTGAAATTCAGAAGTGCCAGGATAACGCATGACCTTGAAAATTTTAAAAATTTTCTACTGCGGCTAATTTATAGGCTCTCCGGGCACTTAATATCCCGGAATTGAATTCAACAAATATGACAACCCTAAACAGACCACATTCAATCAATGTTCATGCGCCACCACTATTCCTCGTCAATGGATCGGTAGAGGGGATAATGTTCCTGTTAACTGGCCTATATTCTTAATGAATATTTACTACGATAAAATATACCACGTTACTTTATTTTATGATATGGATACATACACATACGACGAATTAGAGTTATTTACAACATGCCTAATTTTATTGAGATAATTAATAAAAACAATCAAAAACAACCAAAAATGCTACAGATAAATAACAAAGTTGATGTTATTAAATTTACAACAACTTATTATAAAAACATTTATGGCAATTTGGAAATTCCTCCACAACTCTTCAGTGTTATATGTGGAAGCATACACTGTTGTTTTCAGATTGCCCCAATGATAATAGTCGTAAGATGTTAAATCTGGTGAACGTCCAGGTCAGTTAACAGGAGCATTATCCCTTCTACCAATCCATCGACAAAGAAATCTTCGGTTCTGATACTATCGGACATTTACAGTGAAATGTGGTGGAGTTCCATCGTGCATAAACCACATGTTAGCTCTGAGTAATAACGGCACACCTTCCAATAACTCGGATGTGTTTTGCAAAAATTTTAAATAAAATCAATTTAATTGTTTTTTCTAATTATTTGAATAAAATTAGGCACATTGTAAATAACTCTAATTTGTAATCAACCTACAAAATCAGTGCCTACTAGCACTTTGATAATTATAATATGGGTGGCAGGATAATGTAGACATTTAAAAAATATTTTTTTGTACCCAAACCGCTTATTTAATTAAAATTCTACAAGAGGCCCAAAAACTTCCAAATGGAATCACCTATCAGATAAAAAATAGTTTTCCGAAAGAGGAAAAAGTTATGAAAGGATATTATCACCATACATCAATTTTGTAGGTGTTGAAAAACACTCTGTATAACACCAAAATGTGTAGACTAAAAACAAAAATCCACACCCCAAAAATAATCAAAATCGATTAATACCTATTCAAGTTATTTACAAAATTCAAAAAATTTTTACTAACTTTGAGGCCATCTAGCGACCAAACTAAGCGATTTCGAATATAGGTGAATTAGCCTAGATCTGCCTATTTTAAGTCCACGAATCTGTGGTCTTCCGTTGTACACGTTATTCTGGGACACCCTGCAGGTAGAGATATGTATTTTTTATTATTTTATTTATTTTTTTTTTTTTCAAGATGAGATTATTTGTTAGGTAAAGTTATTTCCATAAAAAATAACCCTTGACCGATCCTTTTGGCACAAGGGCTTATTTAATTAATTTTGGATATATTTAATAAATTTTTTATTTACTTATTTTTTCTTCATAGATAATGTAATATCCAAAAAATACATTAAAAACAACTGATCATTAGTTCAATAAGTTAATGGACGAATTTACAAAAAAATTAATATTTGTAAATATATATAATTTTGAAAAATGACTTTCTCTAAACTCATTTACATTGTAAACTATGCCTGCAGTTATATGGATATATGCCAGCCCTTATCCCTATTGTTAAGTGATCCGATGAAAAATTAAAAATTGTGCTGTTTTGAGAGTACTTTAGTAAAAGAAGTCCAAATGTGGTATCTCTCAAATTGTGAAATAAATACTTGCATAGTGTATAGTAGGTTTACATTTTTAGGGCATCAACTCAATGAATTGTCAATTTAAGATAACTATGTGTGTGTTACCATATCTAGTAATATTGTATTTTTAATATTGTTTTAACATTTATGAGCAGAATTTGACAAAACATTGTATAACAGTTATTGTAGAGGTTAAAGAAACTATTTTGCTCACTTATTTACAAATGTGCGAGCAAAATTCTCAGTTTCTCTAATGATACTAAAATATACTATTCTCACTAGGAAATGGTAATGAGTCTACAAAATGAGGTGAAAAAAATAAAGTACATTATAGCTGAAAAAAATAAAGATATACAAAAGAAAAACAACGAAAAAGAAGAATTAATAGGAAAAAACAACGAATTACATTTGCAAATAAAGGAACATACCAATGAAATAAAAAAATTGCAAGACACTTTTAACCAAGCGAAAGCAAAGGTAAATACTACTAACAAAGATTTTCAATAATTTTCATTAAATTGCTTACAGGAACAAGAATATTCTAAAACAATATCAAATGACAACGTATATTTGAAAGATGTAGAAGGACTTTCTCATAGAGAAGGCTTAGATTTGGAAAGAAGAATTAAAGTGGCTCAAGAGAAAAAAAATAAATTAGGCAGAACAGTAAATACAAAAGCTCAGAGTATGTTCGAACATGAAGAGAAACAGGTTAGTCGTATTTCTTTTTGTCTACCATTCAACTAAAAGGATTATTAATTTTCAGTTTAATGAATTGCGAAAGAAGCAAAAGATTGTAGAAAATGATAAAAAGAAAATATTAGCCACTATGGCACAGTTAGATCAAAAAAAGAAGAATTCTTTAAAGTTAGCATATGAGCAGGTATCTAAAGATTTTGGCTCAATCTTCAGTACTTTGCTGCCAGGCGCAAATGCAAAATTAATCCCACCTCCTGGAAAAACAATTTTGGAAGGATTAGAGGTAAACATTTCAATTATTATTCTTCAACATTTCTCTGTCAAATTCGAAAATTAAATGAAATATATTAACTAAATAATCCTTAATAATTTATTACATGAATCTTGATTGCTAATATACGAGTTATTGGAATTGCTATTGCTAAGAGATTAAAGGTATTAACATCTAGACGCTCCAGATGTGTTTTAGATCCCTTAGATCCCTTATAGCTGTTTTACATTGACAATTTATTGATCAATTAATTCATGAAGTCGCTTCATCAATAAATTGGACAAGTGTATTGCACCAAATCTGCTGTCAAATAACTTCATGAATTTCTTCATCAAGTTCTTGACGAATTAGAACATGTTCTAATTTTCGTCAATTTCTTCGTGAAGTTCGGAAGTACTAACCCAACAGATTTCCAGCGTCAGATCAGTAATGAGGTTATGTTATTGGAATATGTAAATAATTGTGTGCGTCATACTAGTTTTGCATTGTTTTTACTGAACTAATATTTATATGATATGTGTCAAACTGGTACCGCTGTTGTATCACTACAATAATTATTAGTGGAAAGGTGACATTTTTGAAATTTTTTTGCTTTGATTTGTTGGTAGAGCCGATTCATGTGTCAAAAAACTTGACAAAGTCTGTAGCACTGTAAAACCACACTGTTTACCAATAAATTCGTAAATTAATTCATGAAGAACTTTGTCAATTTTTTCATGAATAAATTGTCAATGTAAAACAGCTATAAGGGATGAAAAGACAGGGATATATCTAGAGCATCTAAATGTCAATACCGAACTTGCCTACAGTTAAATGCAGTCACAGATTTTTTAAATTAAACTGATTAGCATTCCTAATCTAAAATTCTATTAGTTGTTTTTTATTCAATAATATGGGTGTATTTTATGGTCAGGAATTTTACATTGTACTACTAATCGTAATTGAAAAAAAAACGTTTTTAAAATGCTTCTAGAATATATCAAACTAAAATATGTTGTTTGTTAAAAAAAGATCAACCAAAACAGTACAAGTTGTGATTATGTCTGTATTGCATATTTTTGGCGATTTAAGTAGATGTATAATATTTTTTACTCTATTTTAAAGATATTAAGCTAAATAAATTCAAAAATAAACACTAAAAAATTTTATTAAATGAAGTCAAACAATGTTCTTCAATACCAGAAATCTGGGTTTGCAAAAGATATCTAACTGCTGATAATACGGCAAACAACTATTCTATGGACAATATGCCCCAACTAGCATTGAATTACACCAGCAGTACCTGGTAAACAGCTAGTAATAAATAATTATCCAAAATGTGTTCGTCTTTGTCAAGGGTAATGAGAGAACAACAAATATAGGTACTATCAATAAATGCTATAAGTAGGTATAGCGACGGTTTAGACTGGGAAAATTTCGGGGACCGTGGGAAAGTCGGTGTCCTTTGTCGGCGTCCTTTGGTCCTTTGTCGGCGTCCTTTGATCCTTTGTCGGCGTCCTTTGTCGGCATAGATCAAAGGTTGGCGCCGCATATGTGGTAACTGGATTTATCCCAGATTAGCGGTAAATTATAATTTAAGATCAACAAAAAAAAAAAAAATATATTGATAAAACATATTATGTGCAGAATATACTTTTAATTTAATACCTTATTGCTTTAAAATATCTAATTGTAAGTCAGCAAAATTATAATTTGATAGCTAGAAGAGATTATGAGAGTTATCGCATCATTCGGTATTGCATCATTCGATTTAAGTCACGTGTTCGATCAATGCAGCATTCAAATTCGCGGTAGATTGAATTGGCCCAGCAGAGCGCGACATTCAAATTGGAGAAAATTCAAACTTGACGACGCGGTTTATCGCTGGGAAAGCAACATTAACGGACAGGTACAAATTGTAAGATGAGTGATTGACTCGGATGGTTCGGAGGGTAGTTTAAAATTAAATAACACGATTTAAAGGTTTGCGTTGCGTAGTAAGAATCGGCAGGGTGCGCACTGGTGGGAAATTTAAAATTAAATGTAATATTTAATCTCATGCGCAGAAACAATTGGCCGGGCATTATTGCTGGTAAATTCAAAATTAAAGGTAAAATTGAAACGGATATGTAGAAACAAGTAACTGGGCCTTATTGGTACTAAATTTAAAATTAAATATTATGACTCAAGGGTTGCATAGAAAGGATTGACGGAGAAATTCAAAATTAAACACGAACAATAATAAAACTCTAAATTTCAACGCATGCATGCTGGTGTTCGACTTTGTGGAATGTATTATGTATATGCAGAACAACTTGTAACTGATAGCTTAATTCATTTAAAGTCTATATGTAGCAAAAATTGTATTTTGATACCAATAAGAGAGTAGGAGAAGTTAATGAACTATAAACAGCAATCATTATATTATTCTATTTGGGGCACATGTTCGACCTATGCTTCATTTGAATTGGTGAGAGCTTCAACATTAAATTTATAATTCAATGCATGTGCGTACAATCTTGTCACCTGCTACGTTATTTCCTATCAAATCACAGTATCGGCATACATTGTAATATGTTAAGTCAAAAAGTATAATGTGACATTTTATTTCATTTAATTTTTTGTCGGCATAAATTTTAATTAGATATCTTATAGGTGATAGTTTTAATTCACTGACAGAATCATTTATCACACTTCTTAAAAAGAAATAACTTCAGAACATTGTTTGATATCGAAAGTATATACAGGGTCTTTAGTTTAAAGTGTGGAGATCTTAAGTTGGTCATTGACCTGGTCTAAACCGATTTGCAGTAATGTTTTAAAAGAAGCTGTTGGGAAAAAATTATCATTACTTCGTGGTTGAGAACGCAGTTTAAAACAAGGAGTTTTATGTATAACACTTGATTAACTTATATATTATTTTAAACAAGTGTGTACCAAGGTCAGTTTAGCTTTTTAGAGTAAAACCAACTAAGCAGCAATTTTTATGACTTACGTAAAAGAGATTAAAACAGAAGACCTTGGAACTGCAGTAGAAATTACAGCAAACCTTCTTAAACCTTTGACGTAATGCATGAAATTATTAAGTTTTGTAAGCTCAGAATACTGTGAGAATGTTGTTTTTGTGGAAGGCATTCAGCTGAGGTTACACGGATATCTTCATAAGATTAATTTTGCCTATTTTTCAGACTGCTATCTCAGCAAAATAAGCAAGTAGCCTGTTTCAATGTCACGATTATCAACTGCAGTCACTGCACTATATGCTGGCTTTCTTCGCGAATATAGCCGTGATTCTAATTAATAATCTAATTAGAATTATTATTGTCATAAAATCAACGAGTCTGCTCTACTTGTTTTTTATTAAAAGTTTCTTGGACTATTATAGTGAGTGGTGCTTTTTGTGTGTGTCCTTTCGGATAAAGAAAGGTAAGTGTATATTCATATTTTCAACATAAAAACGTAGCTTTGTTGTAGTTATAGTCTTAAACAGCAATTAGATGAAATTATTTTTCATAGTAAAAATTCTATAATTAATTAAAAAAACTATAATTTAGCTGGTAAAACCGCTTATTAAATACAGCAAACTCACTTAAACGTTTATTATTTAACGAAAAAAAAATTATATTTAAAGCCACCATTATACAGGGTGTTATTTTAACAGTTGAGAAAAAACAATAGCTACAGGGTTACAAATTATTTAACAACGACAAGATGGCGGCTAAAAATCTAAAGAATTATTTTTTATATTATTATTTTTATAGATAGCGGAAATACAGAGAGAGAGAGAGAGAGAGAGAGGGGGAGGAAGGGAGAGAGATAGAGCAGCGTTGGAAAGGTATGAATGTTAGCCATAGAACGACAGAGACATGGAGAAACAAGACAAAAAACCATTATTTCAACAGGAAAAAACAGACCAAAAAAAAGTAAATAGCATTAGCAGTAAATTAAAATATAGTGGTATATTAAAGACAACACTCACTCAAACGTTTATTATTTAACGAAGAAAAATTCGATTTAAAACCAGCATTATATAGGGTGTTATTTTAGCAGTTGAGAAAACAATAGCTACAGGGTCTCTATAAAAAGTTAAAAATTATTTAACAACGACAAGATGGCGGCTAAATATCTAAAGAATTAATATTTATATTATTATTTTTATAAACAGTGGAAAGACAGAGAGAGAGCAGCGTTGGAAAGGCATGAAGTTCAAAACAAGACAACAGAACTACAGAGACATGAAGAAACAAGGCATACGAAGGGTAAGTTGTTAGATTTTTCTGCATTGTAAGGCGTGTCGTTTGTACCGATTCAATACACAGTTAAATATGTTGGCTTGATACAGGTACCCGTGGTCGTGTAGAGGTCTATCTTAAACGATTACCTAAGGGTAATCATTGGATTTTTCCTTGCCAACAAAAAAGAAAGGTTTCAGCCACACGCGAAAAGCTTAAAATCCGTTCGCGAGCGCGAAAGGCCTACGGGCTATCGAAACGATAAAAAAAATGGCTGTCTTGTGGTTAGGGCAAATTCAAAAATATAATTGTTTGGCATCATACTCTTAGCGCGATTCAAACATCTCGACGGCATTATTTCAAACTAAACACATCCGTTGTGGTGATGAGCGACTTGTAGGGCATAATTGAACGTTATAGGGTATTTCCTTTCAATTAAAAATTACTATTGACTACATTAAAAATATTCATATTTTATTTTTTGTAAAATAATGTTTGCCACTATTTTTTATTAAAGTTCAGTTTTAGTAAAGTTTAGTTTGATGTAATTTTTACATAAAAAATAATTTTTTCTGATTTTTTATTATAATTTTTCGTGGGAGTACAGTTTGATCTAATTTTCAAATAAAAAAATTTTCCTGCTTTTCTATATTTAATTTTCATAAATTAATTTTTCGTAATTTGCGGATTGAAACAATTTAAAAAAAATTACAAAAAAAACTTGCCAGTTTGGCTAAGGGAATGCTGCAAAAGGGCCCAGAGGGTGGCTGCAGAGGCAGGTAATGGGGTGGGGGTGGTTAT